GGGGCCGGCCGCATGGGGCAGCCCCTCCTCCTCTCCCCACCCCATACAGCACTGCTGCAGTTTGCTCCCCAGGATGCAACTGCCACACAGCAGCATCCCCAGCTCAGAGCCCCCAGGACGGGGCCAAACCACAGCATGGGCTCTGTTAGTGCCCCTTCCCCCTGTCCGGACCCAAAAAGCACCCTCCATGCAGGTTCCCCATCGCTCCTGCTTTTGTCACGGCTCCGCTGACGTCCCAGAGCTGCCCAGACACCTGGAGCAACCTTACACCCAGTGCCTCCCACCCACCCCATCAGGCGGAGCTGACAGCATCCCCAGTGCCCTTAGCTCATCCCATCAAGCACGGCTGGCAGCAGCTCTGTTTCCCAACCCTACATCCCACAGCATTCTCTTTTCCCGAATCCTGCCAGGCACTGCCCTCCTCCTCCTCCTCCTCCTCCTCCGTCTCGGTCTGGTCCTTGCTCCTGCTGCAGTCTGCTGTTCCATGGTGAGTGCGTTTGTCGGTGCATCTATCCTTCCTTCCCTCCATGTGGAAGGATTGCAGAGCTGTTCTGTGTGCTTGCGGGCATTTGTCTGTCTGCACTTGCCATAACCTGACAACACTTGCCATAACCTGACAAAGGCTTGGAGGCTTCTGTGTGTCTGCTGCCCCATCCTGCCAGGCCACTTAGTTCAAATGGTGCCTACACATTTGGGATCTCTAAGGTCGAGGATAGCAGGCTAAGGTCCAAATTCAAAATGAGGCACATGCACAGATCATGATATTTGTAAATTCAGTCTTTTACCTGACAGAATATAAAATTTATGAATATGGATGTGCAAGCACATGGATTCTTTTATTGGGATCCTTAAAAGCAGTTGCTGGTAAACCAAGATCTCTACTAAGGAAGAAAGAATCTTATCTTTAGTGTTTTGTCAATTTAGCAGCTCCCAGTTTCATCAATTAGGGGCCATCTCCCCAGTAATTCCTCTGACAAAGGGGTCCTTCTGAATCCGGAGGATTAACCAAGTACAGTTTAAAGAACCTGACAGAGAGGATGGCTGACTAAAGGTCTCTGAGACCACCAGAGAGAGAGTGTGCTTTCTAGTATGACTAAAGCGAGGAGAATTACACCTGTCCTTACTTTTGGTGGTGAGTGAAGCCCAAGTCCCTGATGTGGGGTTTGGACCTGCTAATTTCCTTCTTTTCTTTTTTTTTTTCTTTCACTTTTCTCAGTCTCTGCCTTTGCTCTGCGCAGATCCCAGATTTACACAAAAAATTTATGTTGATTCTTGTGGAGTCGTTTGAGATGTACATGTATTAAGAAAAAGGGGCCATTAACTCGGAAAGTCTACCTGGGGAAGCGCTGGCATAGAATAAAATAACTACTGTTAGTGCTGGGCTGAGTCGGGGGGGGGGGAGGCGGGAGATGCTTCTTTGCCTGGGAACAAAAGGGAGGTTCCTGAGAGCCATTCTCTTGGAAACCCCACCTCGAGCAGGACCATCAAGAGCTCACAGCTCCTCCCATCTCTCTTGGTGTTGTATTATCATGCCTAGGAAGGAACTGCATAATCATGCATCGCATCCTCCCGTCTGCAAAGTTAGAAAGACTTTTGGAGACAGTTCTTTCGCCCTGCACCCCGATTTTGTTTACAGTCATCACTTTAATCCTAGGGTAGTAGGGCGGATTTCCATGAATTAGGGTTCCGACTGCCCCAGAGCCTTGCAGAGCCCCAGCCAGGGGCTCACCGTGCCAGCTCCGCAGTGTTAAGAGCAGAGCCGAAGGGCAATGCACTTTCCTCCCTTCCACCCAGGCTCCCTGCTGAGCCGTGCCGGGGAGGGGCCGCCCCTTCCCCGGGCTCTTTGCAGGGGGTCTCAATTAAGGAAGGCTCCTCTTCCCGGCAGCCCAGGGAAGGGTGGCGGGGGCGAGGTCCCGGGGCTCCGTGATGCCCTTCGCCGCCTCTATCGCCGGCGGCCGGGCCGCACAGAGATGCTGTTGCTGCACTCTTGCCCCATCCCTGCCGGGCTCCCCGAGGTCTCCTCTCAGCTGTGCCCGGGACGGGCCGCCCTGTTCCCCCACTCGCCGTTCGCTGGCCGGGACCCCCTTGGTTGCTGCTCCTGCAGCCCACACAGGGCCGCTGCTTCAGCTCCAATGTCCCTGTGTCCGCTCCAGGCACATCAGTAACAACCAAACACAGCACAAGTTTTCCTTGCCTTTTCCTTGCCCTACCCTGTGTTTCTTGGGACACGTTAATACTTTTTTTTCACAAGGTCCTTATAACTCACTTCATGCTCTTTCTCACACAGAAGCTGTCTTCAACCAAAGAGTCAAGATGAGGAAAAGTGGCCTCCTGAGCAAACAGTTTATGTGTAGGGGTGAGTAGGGGCCAGAAGGGTGACACCTGTGAATAATGAAGAAGATTTTAGCTGGGAGAGCAATGTGGGAAGGAAGTGATTTCTTGGGTTGTGGACAGGGAGGCACATCTCACCATATTCGGGGAACTCAGGGGTATGGCTTCACTTGTTCTGACTGGCATAGTAAAATATATTTTTGTAAGTGTGATTCATCTCACCCATAGTGCTGAAGGCTTTCCAGGGAAACCATCACAAAGTGGGAGGATGATGCAGAAGTCTGCTTCTGTGGGATGGGGAGCAGCACTCCTCAGTGCTATGATATTTCATCACCTCTACTGTGGTGCTAAATCACCCCCTACTGAATTGTGTTGTGATACCTAGGTACGTGGCTTGATTGGTGGGTTGCATCATCCCATCCAGGTGAACTACACAATTTTCTGTTCCAAGACATTACAACAACCCCTATGAAGGTCTTATACCTTCCTTTGCTAAGTGTCACTCTACTCTTACTACAGTGTTATGCCATTATTTACTAAGACATATACTCCAATGCATTATACTCAGGTTTGACACACCACTGATGCCAGACCTTGCCCTAATATGAGATGCTCTTCATCTCAAACCAAGGGCAAAGGTATGAAGAAGGTTGCCTTTCCATGGGCTGCTGTCATAGCAGGAAGAAAGGACATCAAAGCCATCTTCCAACCAAATTCAGATCTACACACTGTTAGCCTCAAATAAACCATACGCTACAGGGACGACAGGTCAGAAAGGGAGAACAGTGAGAAACATCTCCACTGCTGACAGTGAAAAGGAGATGAGGCAATTTCCTGTGACTCTACCTTTGATGCCATGCTAAATGCCCTTGGTATGGTCCCCTCTTCCCTTCCAGTAGACCAAAAAGAGTAGTATATCTGCTTAAGCTGAAAATCGATCTCATCTCTTTGGAGAATTAGTCTCAAAGAAGGTGGTAGGATCTGCTCCTATCTCTGAGATGCAGTCTGAAGGTCTGAGGAGCTGCTGGGCACCTCCTGCCATTTTCATGAAGCTCTGTTGTGGGATTGTCTCACGCTACATTCTGGGGGACAGACAGATTCCTCTCAATGCCATGGTAAGCCTGAACTAAGATGAAGCATGGCACATTTAGGCGATCTGAGGGCACATCTGCCATGTGCACTGGACAGAAAGGGGCTTAGAGAGATGGGGAACTGTGGTCTGAGGGAAACGTTGACAGCTTCATTTTCATTGCTATTTGTCAGCTTCTGCAACTGGCATTTCTGTGGCAGATTTGGACACACAACTGTTTTCCACTACAAGCAGACACCTCAAAATTAAAGTTTCCTACATGCAACAAGGGAGTCTGACAGCTGTTGTGTCTTCCTCAGGTTTATTCCAGAGGGGGATATGGTTCTTTTCTTCCTATCCTGAAGTGGAGCTAGTAACTGTGACAGTAAATGTAACCATCCAGGACTGTGTGGCCGATGTGTTGTCTGAGCTGGTTTACCGCAATATGCAGCAAGTCTCTAAGGAGACCATGTTCATCTTTCCTGTGGACTCTGGCACTGTTGTACACACTTTCTCTGCGACCATGGGGGACACCTGTATTGAAGCAATGCTCTGGGAGAAGGAGGAGGTACTGGGATTGCGGTGGGAGGGGGTGATCCACAGATTAGGATGAAGAATGGAGGTGAGATCCTGTGGAGATCTCAGTGACACATTTTTCTCCCTCTGTGGCAGGCCCAGCAGCTGTTCAAAGCCACTTCAGGCATGGAGAATTTAAGATACCTGCAGGACCAGGAGGATCTTTGGGGTCCTGTGTTTACTTGTTTCTTGGGGACCCTGCCTCCTAACAGGGAGGTGGCCATCAGCCTGTGCTATGTCCAGGAGCTGCCACTGCAGCCTTGTGGGGCTGCCCACTTTTGCTGGCCACATGAGCTGGTCCCAAGGACAAAATACACTAGTGAGTGATCCTCCAGGTGCATCCCCCAGGTGCATCCCCCAGGGAGGAATACATCACTCCTCAGCATCCCTCCGGGGGGGGACACTCCATATCTGCCCACACGCCTCAGAGAGAGAATCTGAATATTCCCCCTTACACCTCACAGTCAGGAACCCCACAGATCTCCCCGTATCCCCACATCCCACAGGAAGATATCCCCACAGATCCCTATACAAACCACAGTGTGAGTCTACACCACCAACAACCCACTCAGCACCACAGTGAGGTACAGTTCAGATGCCACATTTCCCCCCTACCAATGACAGACCATAGCTGTCTGCTGCCCTAGGGTCTCTTCCTTCACCTTCTCACACCTCTTTCTCACTGCAGGCGGGTTCTCTTCTGAGATGTCCGAAAACGTGCACTTCAACATCCGTCTGAAGTCAGCCCATGGTGTGTCCCGTATAACAATTAATGGCCGCTGCACCCCTCTGCAATACACGGCTCCAGATCAGACCTCTGCTGAGGTATGGCAGATGCTACAGTCCCAAAGTGGGAGAGGAGGGAAGGGTCTGCAGCTTGCTGTCACTCTTAGGACTCCTCAGTCCTTTTATTTGGTTCTATTTCCTCCCCATGCCCTACTTGTCCTCAGGTCTCCTTGAAATTGCCGCCCTGGATGTGGGATGATCTGAACTTGCTGGTGTATTACAGAGGGTCTCCCCGTCTCAGTGCTGTGGTGGAGAGGAGAGATCCCAAAGCCCCACCTGGTGAGCGTGGAGGGTGGAGAGTGTCAGGGAGACTGCGGGGATTTGAGGGGCTTCTCAGGCAATACATCAGAGATGAGGGCTACATGGATGACAAAAGTAAAGAGAAGGGAAGACAGCTCCAAACGAAAGATCCTCCTTGTTTCCCCCCACACACAACAGGCACTCTGCTGGGAGACCCTGTGGTGATGGTGACACTGATGCCCAACATTCCTGACACAGTGCCCAATCCAGGCCAGCTTGGGGAATTCCTCTTTCTCATGGACTGCAGCCTTTTCCAGGATGCACAGGTACCACCAGAAGAGGTCTTCAGGGGGTATTTTCCATACCAGTCATGCTCAGCTGGTGGGGATAGAGGCAAGCTGCTTCACATATGCAGATGTTCCGCCTAGCTTCCTCATCTGAGTTTCACCCATCCCTCCATCTGTCCCCAGAACACACTGCTCTTCCTCCTCAAGAGTTTGCCTCTGGGCTGTTACTTCAATGTCTACAGTTTTGGGGCCACTTTCAAAGCCTTCTATCCGTGAGTTGGGACGATAATGGGGCAGGGCCAAGGGGTAAGCAGACTACAACTTTTCTAAGTGAAACTATAGGACAAGCTCTTGCGGGAGGGCAGTTATGGGGCAGGATCTGTTGAGGGGATTGAGAGGGTAAGTCCTCTTTTCAGGGTGCTTCTGTAGCTCTAGCAGTGAGGTAGGGCTTTTCTAGCCAGTGGCCAGGTGAGGGTAGCCATGGGCCAGGTTCTCTCCCCCGTGACACTCTGGTGCCCTGCCCCAGGCAGAGCATGGAATACACACAGGAAAGCATGGACAATGCAGTGGGGCGCATCTCCTCCATCTGCCCTGATCTGGGGGGCTGTGACCTGTTGGGCCTCCTAAGGTCTGTCTACAGCACTCCTTCTCCTTCATGGGCACCCCCGCCAGGTATTGGGGGACAAAGGGTTATGGGGAGGGGCATGGGTGTAAACAATGGGTAAAGGCAGACTTCAGGGCTCAGGGTGAGATATTCTGCTGCTGTTTGCACCAGGAGTTAGCATGCAGGGGGCATCCTCACTGCAGAAAGTGACACTGTCTTTGGGGTGGTCAGCATGGGAAGTCTTCCGTGGAATTTGTCTGCACTTGGGGAAGGTGGATCTTCCTTGTGGGGGGTACCCTTTTGTGCTAAAAGGTGTCCTGGTGTTAACGAAAGGAGACACACGATCTCTTTTCCTGTTTCAAGGCCAGTGGGCACGAAAGGGTAAGGGAGGAAACTGGGAAGGCTTCTTATATTTTAGGAGGATGTCTTTTCTCCATGGGGGTGCCCAGCCCTGGCAATCTTTGTTTCCCCTCCTCTCTCCCCTCAGCTTTTCATCTTCATCCAAAGGAAGATCTCCAGTGAAGAGGAAGCTGTCATGGCTGAGGTCTACTGTTACCAGGACCACCACCGGTAATGGAGGAGCCCTGTTCCTGTCCCCTAAAATGCTAATTCACAACCTTCTCCTCCCCGTGACTCTCAGTCCTTCAAACATTCCCCTAGGTCCTAGTCTGCCCCAGGTCTAAGTCTGCCTATACTCTTCATCTAGCGTGCTGCCTCCCCAGTGTTTCCCTCCACTTCTCAGCACTCCCCTCACCCTGCAATATCTCAGTGTGCTCTGTGGGCCCAAAATCCATTCTCATGATCTCCCTGTCCAGCAGGCAATGTCTCACTCCAGAGTGAATGGAAAAACTCTGAGTCAGTTTCATTTCTACAATTAGTAGCACTCTGACCTCTCCAGACTTTGTCCTTTGTACCAATCCTACGCACTGCTCACCTTTGTCCCATCTCTAACCTCCCCCTCTTTTCCTGTACAGGTGTTTCTGTTTTCCTACTAACAGTTGTGACAGCTTCAACCTTTCCCAGGCCATGGCCCTGGAGACCAAAGGTGAATGTGTGTGCATCCACTCTAAGATGGACATGACATCCGAGGTAATGACCCAGGTACCCCTCTGCTCTATTCAATACCTCCCATGGCTCTCCTAGACATGCAAGGAAATGCAAATACCACCATCCACTCCAACTCAGAGATGCCCTCTCCTGCCCAGAACTGGGAAGGAATCCAAGTGATCTGTGCTCTCTGCTTCCCCTCACCAGGCAGTGAAATGTCTGCACAGGGCTCTGCAACCTCTGGCAAGTGAGATCTCACTACATTGGGACCTCCCACCTGGCCTGGAGGTGTCAATGATCAGAAAAGCTCCTGAGTTTATCTTCCAGGGACATCAGAGCTCCATCTATGCCCAGATCCATGGGCAAAGACAGGTGAGAGTGATCCGGGAATCATACGCACTGGGGCAGGGCTTTCTGGAAGGTAAAGAACCCATTCCCTCTTTCACCTTCCCAGCACTGAGTCCTTCAACTCCACTAGACTGAGAGACACCACAATCAGGGCCCTGTGAACCCCTTTCTTTCCCCTAGAGACACCACTGCTTCTACTCCAACCATGGGTATCTACTACCTTAGTAGGGCAGGGAGGGAATCTAGGTGGCCAGGCTGCCCGTGCTTTGCAGATGAGCTCCCTTGTGTCACCAGGATCCAGATTTGGGTGAGGGAGCAGTGACCCTTCAGTACAACGTGGGCAGCCAGTCCTTTGATTATACACTCAGGTTCTCACTGTCCACATCTGCAGATGACAGGTGAGAGGGTAACACACTTGCCCACGAGGCAGAGTGGCATTGGCAAGGTCTGGAGGAGGGATAGAAGGTGTCCTTCACTTGCATCCTTCCCACTGTAGCCTGAGGTGGGAAGAGAATCTGGACATCCAGTGCTCCCCTCTTGTCCCCTCTGCTCTGACCTTGGGAGAGGATCTGGGTGACCACTGTCCCACTGCCCCCTCCTCTTTACTCCATGTGTCCCATGTTCCTCCCCGAGGTGGAACCAAGGACTAACTCCCTGCCCCTGCAGGATGCCCATGCACCGCATGGCCATGATGCACCTGTTGTGGAAACTGGCCTGGGAGGGGACAAGCAGGGCAGAGAAGGACATCTGGCACAGCGCAGTTAAGTCCAGCATCAGCCTGGGGATCATGTCACCCTTCACATCCAGTGTGGCAGTACGCATGAAACAGAAGGATGCCTGGCACTGTGGTGAGGCCAGAAATGGTGGGGATAGGACTGGGGGGAAAGGAGACTTGTTGGTCTGATGCCTCCTCACCATCTGCAGCCCCTTATCCTGTGGGCCTCACCACCCCTTTGCCTATCCATGAGTGTAACCCCCATCTCCCTCCCTCTTTCCCAGATTCTTTGCCTCCAGACTCCTCCATGTTGTTTTCTCCCTCTTGCAACCTGGTTCCCTGCCAGCTGCTCTGGTTGCGTGGCTTCAGGCCTGTGTGGTTCAAGTCCGCCAAGTTTTGGATGGTCCAGAAGTGCCAGTTCTGCCTTGAAACACTTGGTCACAAAGACCCTGACACTGAGCCACTCACCCAGCTTTCAGCATCCTGCAAAGGTAAGGAGAAACTCAGCTGGGCATTCCCAAAATGTGTTGGCCTAGGGCTGGACTCCCCTTTCAGCATTTATCTTCTCAGCAGACATCTCATCAGATTGTCGTTGTGCTGCGAATGGGTGGTGTGACAGACAAAGCAACATCTCAACTCTGGGCTGGAAAGTAAGAATCAAATGCCCTAATATGCCCCTGAAGTACCCTTACCCTTGTCTCCAACTATCCTTAACTCTATATCCAAACACTGAGTTTGTCACAAAATATCTGCATGAATCTTTAGCTTTATCATTACACAGTTCCACAAAAACAGCCAGCTAGCAGAGACTTAGCCATTTGCACAGCAGTTTCCAGGCTTCCTTTCCTTCTGTTTGTCCAGTGCTCATCTTCATCTCCAAGTATCACCTGCTGGGAGCTTCTTGTGATTGCTGTTGGCAGGGAGAGTTAACTTCAGCAGCCTTGCTTCAGTCATGTCTAATTGTCAGCTTCTGTTAGCTGTTTCCTAATTAGGGAGTGTCTCTGCTTACTGTCTTCAAGAGACTTCTAATGGTGGGAGAAGATGTCAAGTGCTTTTTCAGCTGTTGTTTGGAAAGTAGCTGTGTAGGTAGGCAAGAACATAGAGCTAGCTAGCAGAGACATAGGACTTGTCTCAGAAATTAGTGCAGCAGGGGTGCAGGGGGGTCTAGCAACTGTTCAAGCCTGAGTGGGGCTGAGTGAAGGTTGTGCAGCACTCCACACAACACCCTCTCCAGCACTGACTGGTGCATTTGTCCTTGCTACACTGGAAGCTCCAGTCCAGACAGAGTGTAAAAGGAAGACAGTACTGTCTAGGTCTTGAGCTGAAGAGAGAGTCTGGTGCTTCACCTTGGGACTGGAACAGAAGTGACTTCCTCTGTGGGTGGTATGTTCTGGCCAAGCTCAGACTTGCTAACTGAAGGAGCTAAAAGGAAGAAGTGAGCACGCTGCATGCCGTCAGGGTGAAGGAAGAGGAGATTGTCCTGGTGTTTATGGAAAGTCTGAAGTGAAAAAAGTCTGAGTTGCATGGAGCAAGGAGAATGGGACATCTGGAGGCCGTAGTCAAAATGAGGAAAGGTGGTTTGTGGCTTCTGACACCAGGGGAAGGCTCAACCTGCAGCTTCAGACTAGTTATAGTGCCTGGGCACTGGTGAGGACAAACAGGGCCTGTCAGGGGAGGCATCCAGAGCCAGCTGACCCTGAACCTGGTGTCCAAGCAGAGGGGAAAGGCATGTGATGGTTAATGGAAATTGTCTCCTGCAGGGGAGGGAGGCACCTGGCTGCCAACCCAACATCACACTTCAGGAGGAGGTGTGTTGCTCATCAGAGGCCAGGACTAAAGAAGCTGCAGAGACTGCCATGGCTTGTCTGGCCCTTGGACTATTACCCATTGCTGCCCTTCCATGTGGACAGCAATAACACTATGTCATGGTTTAAGGCCATCACACAGTCTTTTGCTAAACACCTTGTGCACTGAGGCAAGGACAGGGAGGGTTCACTCACCACTTACGGTCACAGGCAAGAAACAGACTCGACTCGGGAAAACACAAAAAACCAATTTAATTAATTAACAACCAAAAACAGAGCAAGATAATGAGAAAGAGAACTGCATCTTAAAAAGGCACCTCACACCCATCCCTCCCTTCTTCCCAGGCCCAGAGGCTTTATTCCCCATTTCTCTACCTTCTCCCCACCAGCACGGGGAAACGGGGAATGAGGATTGAGGTCAGTCCACCACGTGCTGTCTCTGCTGCTCCTTCCTCTTCAGGGGGAGGGCTCCTCACAGTCTTTCCCTGCTCCAGCATGGGGTCCCTTTCAAGGGAGTGTCCTTCACGAACTACTCCAACATGAGTCCTTCCCATGGGCCGCAGTTCTCCACTAACTGCTCTGGTGTGGGGTGCTGGTCACTTCCATGGAGTCACAGCCTCCTTCAGGCACAGCCGCCCCTTGCAGCACAGGGTCCTCTGCAGGCTTCATCTCAGTAAGCTGCAGGTGAGCTCTGCTTTTCATGGGCTGCACAGGGACAATGTGCATCACGATGATATTCACCATGGGTTACAGGGGAATCTCTGTTCTGGGGCATCTCCTCCAGCTCCTTCCTCTTCAATGACCTTCGTTTCTGCATAGTTGTCTCTCTCACAACCCCTCTCCTCTCTCCACTGCAGGTTCTTTTGCTGGCTCCTGGGGAACTCCTGGCTCTGGGGCTGGGAGTACCCTGGGTCAGCTGGGCCAGGGTGGTGCAGCAGAGGCTGGGAAGGCAAGCAGGCAGCTAGATGGACCAGCTGGGCCAGGTTCTGCCTGCGGCTGCGCCACCCTCCATGCGCAGTGCCCCCTCTTCACTATGTTATTCGCAGAGGTGCTGGTGGGCTTGGCCTTGGCCAGAGGCAGGTCTGACTTGGAGCTGGGGAAACTTCTAGCAGTTTCTCACAGGGGCGATCTCTGTAGTCCCTTCCCTCGCTACTAAAACCATGGAGCTGGGGGAACTTTTAGCCGTTACGTATAGGAACCATCACTGTAGCCCCTCCCCTGCTACCAGACAAACCCACCACACAAAACCACAACACTACCAGGGGTAACCTGGAGCAAATAATGTGCAGTTATGGAGCCCTGTGGGAGAGACTGAAGGGCATAGGAGCCCACAGGATGTTCTTCAGTCCTTCCAGTGAAAGGGAAAGGTTTGGTAGAAATTGACTCATCCTGCAGGTCAGCAACTTGCTGCATGGCTGGTGCCACAGGCAGGACTTTTGCTACTATGACTGCAAGACCCTCTCTGAGGGGCAAGGGTTACTGAAAAGATACAGGATTCATCTGGATATGTGGGACAAAGCTGCATTTGTGAACAGGCTTGCAAACTTGTAAAGGAGGGCTGTAAAGGAGGTGTGTTGAGGAAGGGCTACAGTAAGCTGAAGAAAAGTCAGGGTGCAAGGGGTGGACCAGATGTGTTTAGGGGACAGGATGACAGAGAAGGCTCTCACACTTCCCCTGAAAAAGCTGCATGACTTGAGGGCCATCTCAAATGCCTGTAGAGAAATGCATGGAACATGGGAAGCAGAAAGGAAGAAATCTGCACAGCTGCAGAACTATGATCTCTCTAGAATGCTATAGACCTGATGGGGTAATTCTCAAGCTTGGAGTCCTGCAATGGGTGGATACAGGATTTCAGGAAAGATAAGGTGGGAATCTAAGAATGGTGGATTGCATTTGATGCGAAGGAATGGCTTGAGTGCATCTGTCCTGAGGAAGAGAACTTATGAGTAAGGATCAGATGACAGGTCAGCACAAGTGATGTTGATCCACTGGATCGAGAAAAGGAGGCAGATGAAGCCATCTTTAGGCAGCTAGAGAACACCTCACAGTCACAGATCTTGATACTCCTGGACAGTTTTACAAACTCCAATATCTACTTGAAAGGCAATTTGGCTGTCTGCAAGAAATCCAGGAGGTTGATGTTATGTACTCAAGCCTATTTCATGATGCAGGTGCTTGAGGAACCAGCTGGGAGAGACATTCCCTTTGAGCTGCTACTCACAAACAAGGAGGGACTTGTTGAAGATGTGAAGGTCAAGGGCAGCCTTAGCTACAGCAATCATGAGGTTGGAGTTTACAATCCTGAGAGGAAAGAGCAAGACAAACAGCAGAATTACAGCTCATGGACTTCAGAAGAACAGATTTTGCCTTGTTCATGATCCTGTGAGAAACTGCTGTGGAGGGCAAAGGATCCAACCTAGCTGGTGGATCTTCCAGGACCCAATGCTCTGAGATCAAGAAAAGTCCAGTCCAGTGGCAGAAATACAAAGAAGTGTGACAGAAGGCCAGCATGGATGGACATAGAATTCCTTAGCCAGATCAAACACAAAAAGGAAGTATGCAAAAGCAGAAAAGTGGAAACAGGCTACTTGAGAGCAATACAAAGCTGTTGCCCAGACATGTAGAAATGGAGTTACAAAAGCCAAAGCTCAGGTGGAGTTGAAAATTGCAAGGGAGGTGAAGAACAACAGGAAAGACAACTCTAAGCACACTGACAGCAAAAGGAGGCCCTTAGGAGAGTGGACATCCTGCTCAGAGATGCAGGGAACTCGGTGACAAAGGATGTGGAAGAGGCTGTCATAGTCTCAAACTTTTTGGGCTCAGTTTTAACTGGTAAGGTTTTCCCTTAGGTCTACCATATCTCTGAGTCTCCCAGCAGAGTCCGCATGAGAGAAGCAGTACCCACAGTAGAACATACTTAGGAACCAAGCAGGCTGGTTAGACCTACACAAGTCCATGGGACCAAGTGCATCCAAGAGTGCCAAAGCAGTTGGCTGATGCCACTGCAAGGCAGTAATTCTATCATCTTCAAAAGATTATGGCAATTGGGAGAGGTTCCTGATGACTGGAAAAATAGTCAGACATCTCACCCATCTTCAAGAAGGGGAAGAACAGGAGTTCTGGGACCTACAGGCCAGTCAGCCTCACCTGAGTACCTAGGAAGAATATGGAACAAATTGTCTTAGAAGGGCAATCCTGTATGGGTTCATCAAAAGCAAATCATGCCTGTCCAACCTCACTGCTTTCTCAGACAAGAGAAGGGCAGTGGATTCTGTATACCCTGACTTTACCACAGCTTTTTACAGTCTTGCAAAGTCTCCTTGTCATCAGGTTGATGACATATTGGCTGGATTAAGTGAACAATAAGGCTGTTGGAAAATTGGCTAGGCTGCTGGGATCATAGAGTTCAGAGTCCAGCTAGTGGCTGATAACCAGCTCAATTCCAGAGGGATCTCTCATGGTAACAATACTGTTTAACATCTTCTTCAATGACCTGCACATTAATGGACAGGGTGCACTCCTAGCAAGTTTATGAACAGCACCAAACTGTGTGTGGTCAGTACAGTGCAGGGCAGGGACAGGCTGGAGAAATGGCCTGACAGGAACAACATGACATTCAGTGAAAACAAATGAAAAGTCTTGCATCAGGAATGGATCAGGTTGGAATAACCCTGTGCAACATTACGGGCCCAGGGCCCACACATTCAAGGAAGCAGCTCTACAGAAAAGTGTCTTGGGGTCCTAGCGAACAACTAGTTGAACAGAGGTCAGCAGTATGCCCTTGCAGCAAAGAAAGCCAAACACATCCTGGGCTGTATTAGCAAGAGTGTAGCCACTACATGCAGGGAGGTGTTCTTTCCTCTCTATTCAGCACCGTTTGCTAGTCTGCGTCCTGGGGTATTGTGTCCAGTTTCTGTTTCCACTACAAGAAATCCATTGAAATACGGAGCTCAGTAAGGCTGATGTTGAGGGACAAAGGCCCAGTGAGGTAAGCAGATTAGGGGCAGGAGTGGGGAACTATCGTGAGCTGAACCTCCCTCTGCTCCAGGTTTCCAGTCTGAGCTGAACTGAGAGGAAGTAAACAAAGTAGTCGGGACACAGAGCCTCTCCGCTTGTGGAAGGGGGCGTGGGGGGGCATGGGATGGAATCAGCAGAGATCATAGAATCATAGAATCATAGAATGGCCTGGGTTGAAAAGGACCATAGTGATCATCTAGTTTCAACCCCCCCACCATATGCAGGGCCGCCAATCACTAAACCAGGCTGCTCAGAGCCACATCCAGCCTGGCCTTGAATGCCTCCAGGGATGGGGCATCCACGACCTCCCTGGGCAACCTGTTCCAGTGTGCCACCACCCTTTGTATGAAAAACTTTTTCCTAATCTCTAACCTAAACCTCCCCTGTCTTAGTTTAAAACCATTCCCCCTTGTCCTGTCACTATCCACCCTCGTAAACAGTCGCTTCCCCTCCTGTTTATAGGCTCCCTTCAAGCACTGGAAGGCCGCAATGAGGTCTTCCCGGAGCCTTCTCTTCTCCAAGCTAAACAAGCCCAGTTCCCTCAACCTTTCCTCATAGGAGAGGTGCTCCAGCCCTCTGATCATCTTCGTGGCCCTCCTCTGCACCCGCTCCAAGAGCTCCACGTCCTTCCTGTGCTGGGAGCCCCAGACCTGGACACGGTACTCCAGAGATAACTGGGAACTTTCTGATTTTGAGGATTTGAGAAACTTAGAGAGTTTCTGTGTATGTGTGGAGTTCTTACTTTTTCCACTTGCTGGATTAGGTCTAATCTTTCTTTTTCTTTTTTCCCCCTGATTGTTCTGTTTTCCCCCACAGGATGTGCAGCCAACTGCCTGGGCCACAGTTTTGGCCTTAGTCTGGTTGCACCAGTATAAATGCGAAGTATCTTGGTCAGAGCTTCTGGAGGCCAAAGCTCGTAGGTGGCTGTGAGACCAAACTGGTAAGAAAATTTTGCAGAGAATTGTCACACACTGGGCATTTCCCTCCAAGTCCAGAGCTGTCATGTGTTGACTCACATCCCTGTTTCCCAGTGCTCCTGCACGGCAGTCTATGAGACTGTCAATACACACTGTCTTCCCTTACCGAGTTGTGGCCCCCTCTGCTTTTTTTTTCTGCTTGCAGAGGTCCATCTGGATGAATGTCTGGAAGCAGCAAATTCTCTGTTAGGCTGCTTTGTGGAGCCTGTTATTTTCAGGATTGAAACTTACCCCACTAATGGAAGTGAGCAAGAAGCTGGGTGGGAACACAGCCAGGACAGCTGACCCAAACTGGACAAAGGGATATTCCATACCATTAACATCATGCCCTTGTGAGAGTGAGTGGCTGTTGGGTGCTTATTGCTGTCCGGGGCCAACCCATCACAGCTGACTTGTTCACACATTTGCTGTCCACCACAATATAAGTTTCCACTGGGTTCTGAAAAATAACCCTAAATATATACAGTAAACTTTGCTTCATTTTTCCGCATTCTGCTTTTCTCTCAGGTTTACCCAAATAGTCATCTGCTCAAAATAACAGATCTCAGGGAGAAAAATCTGGTTCAGATACTACAGAAAAACACCTTCTACATGACTCTATGAATCTATCTGTCTGTCTGTCTATCTATCTCCCTTACCTATGTACTCTTCTTTCTGTTTTTAATAGAAGTGTAAGTCCAATGTCATTTGTTTTGCAGGCATCACTCCATTCCTCCTCACAACCTAAAGGACCTTTTTTTAAAAAAAAAAATAAGAGTTTGTCAAATAAAGGGGTGGATTCTATTGTATCACTGTAGGGCCCACTGTACATGCCCAGTGCCATTTCAGCTGTTCTGAGGTATCTGGATCAGCTGCCAGGTAGGAGGTAGGATATAAAGGACTGATTTTCTGAGGTGACAGCTGGAGAGTGAATGGCATACCCTGTGCCATGGGATTCAGTTGCCTAAATATGGATGTCTATCACTATTTATGATGTTCCAGGATTTTCAAGTGTGTTGAGTTTACATGTCAAGGTTTTGGTAGTGGGGAGGCTGCAGGGGTGACCTCTGTGGGAAAAGGCTGCCACATGCCACATCTGAAATACACTCACTGCTGGCCAAAGCTGAGCCAATCAGCAAAACTGGTGGCATCCCTGCAAAAACTTATTTAAGAGAAGGTAAAAATTGCCACACAGGCAGAGTAAGAGGGAGAAAGAGAGTGAGAACAGCAGTGCAAACAGCAAGGTAAGAGGGGGAGGAGGAGGTATTTCCCTGCAGCCCATGGTGGAGCAGATGTTCATGCTGCAGCCCATGGAGGACCCTGTGCTGGAGCAGATGGATGTTTGCTAAAGGAATTGCAGCCCATGCAGAGGATCCACACTGGAGGAGAAGAAAAGCAAGAGAAGGAAGGAGTGTCTTTTACTTTGAAAGGACAGAATTCGCTGAATATCCTACTCTAGCCACATCAGAATGGTGTGGTCATGTGCATGCTAAGATCACCCATCTCTGTCTGCAGTGTCCCTCTGAACAGTAGAAAGCCTTGGAGATGTGAATTTGGATGTCAGAGGTACCAGAACCTGATGAAGAGAGTATGACTAGAAGATAAGCGTTCACTCCTGGCTAGGAGAGACATGAAGGACACAAGAGATATCTGATGTCACTGGGAAGTCCCTTGGACTTTGAGAAAAAAATAACCAAAAGCTACTTGAGCATGTGTGTCCTGGGTCCAGCTGGGATAGGGTTAATTCTTCACAGAAGCTGGGAGTTGGGCATAGCCGGATATTCGATACCATGCTGACGTCATGCCCGGGATATAAGGGGAAGCTAGCCGGGAGAGGGGTCTCTTTTGTGAAGCTCGTGGTGGTGAGATTTTCATTGTATCAGTGTTTCCATTGTACTCTATATACTGTCTTATTGTTATATTCTCCTTTTTTTTTGGTTTTCCTCGTGTGGTATTATTAAAAATCTGTCGTTATCTCAACTCACGAAGTTCCACTTTTTTTTTTTTCCTATCCCTCCCAATTTTACCGGGAGGGGAGTGGGAGGGGGGAGGCGGTGTTGCGACCACGTGGTGGTGGTGGTCCTGACACCAAGACAATGTGATTGACAATCCTAGAGCACATATGTAAGTAGGGTGTTCTTACAGCATAAAGAAATAAAAAATCAGAAGGGTGCAGGGAAGGTACAGTTGACTTGTGGCAATTGCCTGGTATTCATTTAAGGACTCGTCCTGCAGTCCTTTGACAGCTGGTACTCTTCCTGAAATTCAGCAGAGATTTCTTGGGATTCCTTGTAAAACGCTTTGCTTCTGAAAGACTCTAGCTTCTTTTTATTCCAGACTTTGAAACAAGGTGTAGCTCAGAAGTTCTTATCAAAGAAGCAGACAAGTCTTCAATAAAACTGAAAGTAGTTGAGTTGCTGGGGAGTCTTTCTTGCTTTCCTCCTTCCCTCCTTCTAAATGCACATTTCACATCTGAACTCCCAGTTCAGCTGATAGGCAAAAACACTACAAGGGAATCAAGGAGTTCTACATTCAAGAATGAAAGCAAAGATGTTTGGTGATATTTGAAAGTACTTCTGGTTCTTTTTTCTTACTGGCTAAATAAGACTGATACCAAAAACAGAGTGCAGAAATCAACCCAATATCATGGAGTCTATCCTCCTTGCATTTGAGTATCTTCCTGAACAATGGGTTTCCTTTTCTTGTTTCTTCCTCATCATATACAGGATTTCTGTGAATAGAACCATCCTTATAACTGCTCTGGTTGTTATTAGATCACCTTTACATACTGATGTGCTTTTTTCTAGAGAAGCTGTAATCATTGGAGATTGATTATACCTCCACCATCCTGCCTAAGATGCTGGCCAGCTTCTTTACAGGGGCAGCAGAATGTCTGCTAGTGGCTGCCTTGCATAAATGTTCTTCTTTGGTTCATTGGGAGCTGTTGAATGTTATGTTCTGGCAACAATGTATTGTGATTTATATTTAGCAATAGGTAATCCATTTTACAGATCAGATGAACTGCAAGTCCTGCCTCTGGCTTGAATCTGTTTCCTGGATAAACGTTTTATGGCTATTGCTATAATAACATCATTGGTGTCTGCACTAACTACTCTCGTGAAACCCCACCTAGAGTACTGTATCCAGCTTTGAGGTTCCCAGTAAAAGAAAGATATGGCCCTCTTAGAGCAGGTCCAGAGAGGGCCACAAAAATTATCTGAAGGGTGGAACACCTCTCCTATGAAGAAAGGCTGAGGCACTTGGGGTTGCTCAACCTGGAGAAAAGAATGATCCGTGGAGATCATATTGCAACCATTCAATTTATAAAGGGGGCTTATAAAGCAGATGGAGAACAACATTTTACCAAGGCCTGTAGTGACAGGACAAGGGGCAACAGTTTTAAACTGAAAGAGGGTAGACTTAGATGGGATATAAGGAAGACATTTTTTACAATGAGGGTGTTGGGACACTGGAACAGGTTGCCCAGTGAAGCGGTGGATGCCCCAGCCTTGGAAGTGTTCAAAGTCAGGTTGGACAGGGCTTTCAGCAACCTGATCTAGTGAAACATGTCTCTACCCATGGCCAGGGTGTTGGACCAGGTGATCTTTCAAGGTCCCTTCCAACCCAAACCATTCTCTGATTCTCTGAACCTTCTGTGGCCCAGTGAAAGAGATGGCTTCTTCTCTGATTTCAGCCCTGGGGCAAAACTTTCCTGCAGTGACACCTACACACTGGCTAGTCCAGCTTTATCTTCACTGGGGATCACAGTCACTAATACACCCACACTTCCCATTTCTGGCACCACAGACTGCTGTACACACATGGGCACACAGAATAAAGAGCCCCTTGCTGTAAAATAGTTGAAGGTGGATTTTATAAAGGAAAGAAGACAAACTGCAGTGATAGTGGCAGGGCAAAATCAGACAAATGTACCAAGCAAGCAGCCCCTGCTTATGGAATGAACCCTTTTATTCCCTTATGCCTCTATTTCCCACACTTGTTGCTCCCCAAGTTACTAAATCCCTCTCTTCTCCCATCTTTGGTTCCTCCCCTAAACATCCCATAGTAAGTTCTGTCTAATCTCAAATTTATCTTTTTTTTTTTTTTTTTTTAGGGGGGGAGGGGCTGTCCTTCCCCCCCAGTGTGTCCCACACTGCTACACACCAACCTCCCTTAGTCACAAAGGTGATCTGGAGCGCTGTTTCTGGTGACTCATCTTGATGGGTTTCATGCCTGGACAATGGGGCTCATGACCTCAGTGATTCTGTTCTGTGAGGGTCTGGGGCTGAGGGTGGGAGGAGATGGAAGGGAGTGATCATTTACTTTGAGAAAGGAAGATGTGCAATTATACAAACAGTTTAGATGAGTTACAGAGCAGATCTTGTGAACAATCATTTATTTAGATTTGAAGTGATGATAAAACAGATGCACATCTTGCACTGTGTTCACAATAGCCCTTGATGTACCTGATGCAATAAAGAAACAACATTCCAGTGGTGACTTAACCAAATGGACACCACCAAAACAGCTCTCTGGGTTTCTCATCATGTTTGAAAATGAATGTCCCGACCTCTTGGGCAGTCTCTCACATACACACTTAGATGCATCTCTTTTCCACAACAGCCTGATTATAAATTGTACTCCCTAAGGCTATACAAAACAAAGGGAAGGTGATATAGAGACATAGGCAGGCAGGCATACATAAAGTGTTTGCAAGCATTACCCTGGATTTGTTCCATTTCTGATATATCATTCTGCAAAAGATGCTGCCATCAGCAAGTCAAAATTACATGTGTAATGAGATCTTTAAACAATCTTCCTCAAAAAGGTCACTATTTTCCTCTGATCCCAATGGTATAAATTGTCTGCTGTTGGAAAATGAAGTGTTCATTAGCAAGAACACAGAGGAAGTCTAATGAAGAAAGACTGATTATTTCTGCATAATAACCTGTGGTCAGTTAATTTTTGCATAGCAGCTTTGATGTCATTGTTCCTCATGGTGTAGATTACTGGATTTATCACTGGTGGGAACACAGAATAGAGAAGAGAAGCTGTGACATCCAGAGCTGATGGGGAGTTGGAGACAGGCTTAAGATAGGCAAAAGAACCGGTGCTAACAAACAAGGAGACCACAATGAGATGAGGGATGCAGGTTGAAAAAGCTTTACGCTGTTTTTCCTTGACAGGAATTCTCAGGACTACAATGAAAATCTGAATATAGGATATACTTATAAAAGCAAAGCAGGTGACAACTAAAAGGAAACTAAATGCAAGAACCCCAACTTCACTCAAGTATGAATCAGAGCAGGAAAGCTTGAGAAGCTGTGGAACTTCACAAAAGAACTGGTCAATGATGTTGGACTTGCAGAAGGATAAATGAAAAATGTTGCCAGTATGGAGAGCAGAGTAAGGAACGCAGCTGAGCCATGCACTGGCTGTCATGCAGATGCAAGTAGTCCTCTTCATGATGGTCTTGTAGTAAAGAGGTTTGCATATGGCAATGTAACGGTCCTATGCCATGACAGTGAGTAAAGCAAGATCA